CAGATACCTGCTCTCAAACACAGGGACAACCTTTCCCCTTGCCGTTACCTAATACACTACCTACAGCCTCCCCCGAATCTCCCCCTTCTGCCCCATCCAAACCTGCTGTATTTAGTCTCTTCTAAAGATGGAGGGAAGAAGGAGGAGGAGATGGAGATGGAAGAGAGGGACAGGTGGGCTCGTGAAGTGGACGTTTGTCGTTTACAAAGAACCACAACACCCCTCCTTTTTTCTCCTCGGCTCTAGCATTGTGAGATCTGACATTGTGCTCTTTTCCGTGTGTGAAAACTAAATCCTTCGACATCCTGCTAGTTCCTACTATGGAATCCGTTTGGAAAGAAGAACTGGACACAAGATCCCAATAAGAGCCAAGTGTTTAGAAATTTCGGAGGCTTAAAGGAAAAGTACAGATAAATATAGTCTTTAACTGTCTATTTTATCATAAGGCTTCTTTTTGCTCCGTTCTTAGTGTTTGGGGTTGAGCAGACGGAGAAGCCACATCGGCCTATGAGGGACTAAAGAAGAATAAGTGGGCCTGTTAGTTACAAACTAGAAGCCCCCCGAGAAAGACAACCAAGGGCTAGTCAAACAAAGCAGATATGGGACAAAATCATCAAAATAATTTTCCCAAAGAAAGTTGGGAAAACATTGCACTAAAGTCACAGGTCACCCCTTTGCAACCCTTACCAGCAGTAAAGTAGAAATACTGTAGGCAAGCACACATTGAAGCAAGCTTCATGGACTAAAGACCCAGCTGGACCACCAACAACAAGTTCCCTTTAAGAAGATTTATCAGCAAGTGACAAAAACAACACATGTACTCCCTTCTAGAACTCTTCAAGCTTCATCTAAGTCTGTTTTCATTTTTTAAATAGATGGAAATAAAAACCAGTATAGAGAAGATACAGGAAATAGCAACGCACAACTGGATGTCATTCTTGGGGAAATTGTATTTTGTGTGTGGATCTGTCTTTGTAGCCCTTGAGAGAAAATAAAATCCAAGGTGTCACCAGACAAACCAACCAGGAGACAACAAAAGGAGGGAAAGAAATGTCAAGAAATGGTTACAAAATAACATTATGATTCAATCAGGCATGTTAATGTTCTTTTATGACGGATTTCTTATTTGTTTTTTTTCCTCAGAACTGTCATTTCTATTTTTTTCATAGGAATTTGTACAGAAACTAGTGTTTTTGAAGCTGTGTACCACAAAAGCATTTTCAACCGTGAAATTGAAAAAAAGTGGACAGATGTTTTCTTTGCAGGCATGAAGACTGAGGGGAAATGAAATTGAAATGAACACGTTTTAATGTTCAGAATAGACAGAATGTGAAAAAAATGCACACCAAGGCAAACCACATGAAATACATTTGAAGTTATCATTTGAACCTGGTGGAAAATGGTAATCGATAGAAGGAACCATTGTCGTTTCTTTCCTGTAGATATCGCTGGTTATGAGAAGTGACACTTAGTTGTTGCCATTTTTTGTTCCCAAAAGAATAAACCACAACTATTTTGTATTGAATGCAATGCAAACTTTGTCGGGTTATTTTTGTATGAATTATGTGATTGCATTTAATTTATTATGTTGAGCTTCATTTGGAATTGATCAAGGGAATGAAGACATTTCAGGGAAAAAGTCATACGATGAAAAAGTCATCTTCTTTTTTGTGCAGGACAGAGAACCTTTGAAATTGTTGCATTTTGTATTTTGCTTCATAAAAGAAATCCAATTCATGGAAATGATTCAATTTCAGTGGCGTTCATCTAATTATGAACAAATGTGGGCATTCTTATTTTGTTAGCCTGTATAATTTATCTTTACATTCATCTCTTCATTCCTGAAATGCTCCCTGATGAAGGTCACTTTTTAGAACTGTAAGATAATACTAAATAATATGTCACCACTCGTGTTTTTGCATCACCCAAAACATTAACTCCTACTTTTTTACAGTGGCAGAAGAAGAATATACGGTCCTAGCCCTGGTTTGACTCTCAAGTATTAGCATACAGTGAGGTCACAGAGGAAACCTGCAATTTCTCTAAGATAATTAGCTGGCAATGTTTGAAAAACCCAGAAGGTCATTTAAAAACACTTAATGTTGTTCTGATGGCTTTTTCAGAATCCTCAAGGACTCCTCTTATCACGTTTCCCAAGTTGAGCCTCTGTTTCCCCAAGTGGTAAGTGTTTTCAAAGTACCCTTTTAAATTAATTATGTCTTACAGAAACCGATGGTTACCTCTGAAATGAGAACAAAAGCTGCCGCCAGTGGTGTCCTTGGTATTAACCTTGAAGAGGTTCTCCTGCTTCCTTCAACTTCTGCTTTCATGAACATTTTCATAGGACACTGGGCCTCATTAGAATATGTTTGTTGAGATTCTTTCTTTGGTTTTGGTGAAATTGTTCTTAAGTGGATGATAAAAAACATTTTTTCAAAGTGTGAAAACTGGACTGAAGGCAACAGACATACAGTAGAGAAATGCAACTAATTACATTAACGTTCAGGTAGTGTGATATAGGTACAAATCTGGGGTATTACAACACTGTGTTTCTGAGGGAAATACTTTTGTACTCCACTACATTTATTTGACAGTTTTATTTACTACTTACTGTGTGATAAGTGATCACCTCATAAAATACGACACCTTGATATGGATAAAACCACGTAACAGAATATAAAGTAGTTCAAATTAGCTCCATCTCGACCAACTACAACAGCAATATGCTACATATACACTAATGCACCAGTAATAATAATACAAAAATAAAATATGTAATAGATTAGCAGTCAAAGGTGCCACTTTTCTGCATAAAGAGTACTTTTGTACTACTGTACTTGTGTATTTATACTGAAGTGACATTTTCAATGCACTTGCAATAATAGAGTTTTTTTGTAATTGTACTATTGATGCTCATACTTAACTAAACAGTCTGAATACTTAGATCACTAATGTCGACATGCAGTACCTTGGGTGATATGAAATTGTTGACACGCAGGTACCTTCTAAAAAACTACAGGTACAGTACTGTTTAATGTATTATTATTTGTATTTGTATTGTTTATATTATTTATTGTCTTACATTACACTTGCCTACGCCTTCAAGTGGAAGGCAACAGACATACAGTAGTGAAATGCAACGAATTACATTTACATTTAAGTACTGTTATATAGGTACAAAGAATGGTGCTGATTCAATAGAAGCGGCCTGTGCAGCCAATCAGCTGAAGCTCAGACCTTTGGCTGATTGGCTGATGGTAGTTCAGCTGTAGCTGTTAACAGGAGCTTTTTGTCTGTAGTTTAGGTATCCAAACAACCCAGCGGTTTCTGAACACAGCTGTGGTGCAGAGGTAGTACGTGAATGACCGTGATCACTGAGGTGCATGAGCCTTCATTGGGGGTGTCATCAGCCATGTGGTTAGGTTATCACGTCTGTCACCTACATAATCCAGTTAGCAGCGTTTGTTCATTAAAGTTCCTTAAGTTCATTAAACATCTGTTCACTCAGGAGAAAAGGTCACAGTGACCACGTTACAAGTGACAGCAGCTCAGAAACGTTTATCTTTTAAACTCCCAGCATGGCCCGCCTGCTGAGCCCGAGGCCCCCTGAAACACCACTCTAACCCCGACCCCTACCCACTCAAACACACACACCAGCAGCCTGGTTAATACATCCACATCCACATTTCTGTTCAGCAGGACTAGGTCATCACACAGCTAATTGATAAGTACACGGGTATCATTATCAATCATTTTAATTAGTAGGTGAAATAAACAATGTACTTTCTCAGCCAGCTGAAATAGTGGTTTCCTAATGGGGTTAACTTGTAATATTAATAACCTGTTAAAACCAGTACATTTTGTTATTTACAGCCTACCTGAGGACTAAACTTCAAACTAAAGGATCATGAATCAACATCCTCCTTAAGCTTTGCCCCAAACACTGATTGCACCAAATAGAACAAATGCAGTAAGAAAAAGCTCTTAAATGAAATAGAAAGCTTGCTTGTGACGCTTCAGCGGGCCCATTTGGTTTAGAGAACTTTAGAGGACCTGTTCTTTTTTTTGTTTTTCATGGTATTTATTTTTTATTGGGGAAAATACAGTACAGTGTTAGGAAATACATGAGAGAACGAGGATGGTATATGACCAAAGTGTACAAGGTAAATGCAAAATAAACGTTACAAATGCATGGTAGCTCTCTTTGTAACTACAGTGTTTTACAAGAACCAAGGAATGAACAAAGACTGACAAAATTTAACATTTAAGACGTTAGAGAATCAATATATTAGCCCTTACAAACCCAAAAAATGTTCTATAGTCTAATTTTAGGAAAGCATTATGGAAGGAATTATGTGTAGAGCTAAAAAGATTACTTGATTATAATTATTGATGATTATTTGATCGGTCCATAGAAAATTAGCTGGCAACTATTTTTTTAATCAATTAATTGTTCAGTCAGTAAAAAGAAGAAAAGCTGAACTTTGTATTGTTTGTAATGTCATGTTTCAAAAACCCAAGATATTTGGTTTGTTAACAAAGAAAACCAGCAAAGTTTTTCATTTGACAAGCCAGAGCCAGAAAATGTTTGACTTTTTTTTTTTTTGAACAACTTTTGCTTTAAAAATAACAGAAACTATTGATCAATTTTAAAATGAGTTAATCTGTTTTTCTGATGAATGACTGATCAGTTAATCGACAATTTGTTTAATTGATTATTTAATCAAAAATAATCCTTAGTTGCAGAACTTATATGCATTGAACAAAAACAGGCTAATACAGCTCTTGTAGTCTACAACAAGCAATATATTGCACTAAAATCATATATTTTACTGTATTTGGTAAAATTTAAGACTTCAAAATAATATTTTTTAGAGAAATGCTACACTTCAAAAATGTCCAAAACAGTCTGTCAGACTAGTTCATAGCTTCTTAAACTGGATTTATCTTTGTGGATTTATTGAAACATTATTCTCCAGTGTCTTTGGCTTGACCCCTGTTTAACCTGTGGGCAGGTAGGCACCTGGATTCTGGTAGCTGTAGTCTGGACAGACTTTCTGAACTAGTCTGTAGTCTGTGCTATAGAAAGACACGTAGATGCAGATGACCTGGAAAGGTTTGGAGCACATCCAGGTGACGTGGCTCTGAGTCTGCTCCTGAGCACACGTCTTTGATGGATCGTAGTTACACAAAATCACCTTCTTGTTTCGTTCAGTTTTCTCATAGTCCACTCTGCAGTTGAATGTCTTTGAGTCTTTGGGGTTGACGACACTTTGGCGCTCCAAGTCGAATTCCACCTCTTTCATCGGTGGGACAAGGCTGACAGAGACGTTGCCTACACCGGTGGAGTTGTGGCGGAAGTAGACTCCAAGAGAGCCGTTCCCGTGATCCACGATCTTACCCATTATCAGCAAATTCAGTTTGACTGTCTTGATGTTTGAGTAAAAGTCCCCCCAACTGAATGTCCTGGCGAATTTAGACGTTCCATGAACTTTCATGATGGGCTGAAGCTTGATTTTTAAAGATGGGTTGGAGTGTGACTGTGAGTTCCCTCCAAGTATTTCCCAAAGTCCCTGCTTTGAAAGAGGGATGAAGGGACTGATTGGTAGTTTGGTGTTTTGACTCCGAGTTTGAAGTGCCCAGTTCTTCTGTGAAGAAGGTTCTTGATCTTTGTTGACTTCAGACGATGCCCTCTTGTCAAAGGTGAAATCACCATGATGTTGTTGCCCAAGAACCAACTAGACAGAAAACCATGAGAGAAGTTAGGCATTGAGTACAATTGGAAGTATATTAACAAGAGAAATAGAGCAGAAAAGCTAAGTGTGTCAGGGGGTTCAGTTTACAATTATTCCATTTCCCAAAGCATATATGTATATGTTATGTGGTAAACCACTGCCAAACAGATGAAACAATGAGAAACACAGAGATTGAAAATTCTCAAAGAACTGAAAGTTTTACTCTCAAAATTTGTTTAATTCTAGAAATATGGCAAAAAAAAATAAATTTAGAATCAAAAATAAAAAAGCTCCTCGTGAATAATAGATAAAAATAATTTTTTTTTAAATTTATGCTGTGGCATTTAAGAATCTTGTAGGCGGTCTAACTACACACATACTCTTAGATTAGATTCTAAAAATGCATCATATTTGATGAGCTTAAAATGGCATGTATAACTGCAAACTTAACTAATCATCTTAGAACCTCATAGGAAAAAGAAAAAATATTCTATGTAATATATATCTGAAAATAATTGCAAAAGTAACAAGTAATATGGCAGTATTTCACAACAAAAGTTCTTGAGTAAATACACTATTTTTTTTATGTGATGTGCATCTAATTAGAATTCAGTGCCTTCAGTTCTTTACTTACCAAACAAATGGTTCCTTTCAGAAGTATCCATACAAAGCAATGACTGGCGAGCATCTCCATGTTTCATAAAATCCTATCAGAAGATCCATCCACTCTAATGTTAAGTTCATTCAGGCCGAGTTAAGTTTTGGAAGTCCATGCTGAGTGGCTGCATCCTCATTAAACACTGGGACAAACACGCAGTTAAACCTGTGTGCTGCAGCCTCAACTCACCGCACACACACTGAGGCTTTCTCAGATCTGGAGATTTTTAACACTCAGTATTGCTGTGTCTGCTCTCTCTCTCTCTCTGTCACCCCCTCTGTCTCATGCACCCACCTGCCCAATCACACACACACATAGACACACACACACACACACACACACACACACACACACAACATTGCTAACGTTGCTAACATTATCACACTGTATCTCATGCCTGTAGTTGTCCCTTTGTTTTTGTCAGTGAAAATCATCTGACATTATCTTCTGGGTGAGTAAAATATGTATTTAACGCTGATTAAATAGAGAATTTGCTTTTCTTTCATTGTGTTTGAGAGGCAAACAGGACAGTATAATTCTGCCATCTTGTGGCCAGATTATATAGTGCAGCCAAATTAGAGATGACTTGCGCGAGTCTCTAGTTGAGGCTCAGCTGCTGCTGTCTTTAGTTTAATACTGGTGCATTAATTTAGAACAGCAGAAATTTCCATCATAGGTGTCCGGTTAAACTGTTCTTCCAACCAATCAGAAAACTTGGCCATGGTATACATCAGTGATAATTATAGATTCTGGGTAATTGGATCAAACTGTGATGCCGTGATGCAGTGGCTTAGTCTGCTGCTGCATATCAAGTGAATTAGTGTGCTTAGATGTAGCAATGTTCCTATATTCTGAAGTTGCTCCTTCCTGCGTTTCTATCAAGGACAACAGTCGTTTCAGCAGAGTGGCTGCTCTTAAAATCCAAGTGATTTGGATCAAGAAGGGCGTTCCTAGAGAGGAATTCTGAGACCTGTTTGAAAAATGCCCTTTCAATAGACTGTAAGATAAGACAGTAAGAATGGAACTAAAAAAACATGTCTATAGTTCTCGAGTTGGGCAGTGTTGAGTGAAGGCTTTTTGAGCAGGGGCGTTAGCCAAGCCTGTTCTAATAGCTTTGATACTGTGGCTTCCTTTTCTGAATATATAAGAAAAAGCTGTGCCTTTAAGTTTCTAAATTAAATTACCTTAATTTTGCAAATTTCTTAATTTCTTTGACGGATGGCTAGCAATAGCCGAAGTGTGCTTGACAAACTGATATTGCATTAATTCGCATGTGCAGACGTGGAAACTGAACTTGTGCATGAAGCGTTATGAGGCAGCAGTAGCAAGTAGACCATGGATTTATACACTGATTTACCATCTCTGTGCAAGATCCACAGTGAGTTTGAGAAGTTTGAGACAGAATATTATTGTCCAGGAATAGCTCGATACATATGTTGTGAGTTTGTAAAGAGTGAGAGAGAGAGAGGGAGAGAGTGGCGATGCTGGCGACTGCAGCAGAGAGTTAGCGTGTTCGTTAGCAGTTAGCAGTATAGCTCTGAATGTACAGTGCGATGTATGTGCACTTTAGGCTGTTTATGCTACAACTACAGCTCCTCAAGACCGAAGTTCCTGCGTCTCTGCTTCCCAACTAAAGTCCAGACCCTGAGCCGGGAAAGATAAATAACACTGGATAATACAGTATTCTGCATTGTCACTGGAGTGTGTCATTGTCAGTTAATGGTAAATATTTTCAGTGGGAGTAATTTTTAGATATTTTCTGCCTCCATACTGCACATTTGATATATTTAGTGTCAAGTGAGAATAATAATCCGAATACCTCTTCAACCAGGAAGGAGAAAGGTGAAGATGTCCAGGCAGAGAGCATCAAGGTGCAGGAGAGAGACTTTCAGCACAGGAAAGGCCCTGAATTTAAGAGAGAAATCATTGGTACTACTGCTGTCACAAAAAGGTATGTTTCAGTCTGGACCATATTTTTCTCATTGGTGTAGTAAACAGCTGAATTGCACACTGAGTTGGGGGGTGGGGTCTTGGCTCTGCGTGCCTATCTGTAAAAGTCATTGCACGATGAAGTTCCACTTTTGTTTTATGTGACAGGTATACTAATAGAGAAATGTGGCACACTCACGGTGCATATGCACAGGGCCCAGATTTTTGTGCCACACCACTGGCAGCTACTGACGCACAATCTTCTAAATTCTTTGCATGCTTTTTATACAGGTGCAAAGAAATTTTCACATGGAACTGAACCAACAGTCACATAACATCCCTACAGCTGCCAAATTTCTGATTGTTACTTACCTGTTACTTAAACAAAAGAAAGGTAAATGTTTGCAAGCTTTTACTTTCATAGCAACCAGGAAGTTGCACTATAATTACAGCTGCAGGTCCTGACAAATTGAGACAATAAGCATGTGAATCATTTCTAGTGACTGAGGTAAAACAAATTTTCAAATAACAGACAAACGAAAACCTTTGGAGCACTTTATCAACATACACATTAAAACATTAATTTTGTGTTTGATTGAAGTTGAAGATAAAGAAGAAACATGATTCCAGTAGAGGTAATTTAATTCATTCACGTGCAGTGGGTTTTTTTGTTTTTTTTGATTCCAGGATTAACATGTACTTGGAAAATCCTCCGCCTCCCTCAATCTACTTTTGCTCATGGCTCAGGTCTAATTGCAGGTTTTGCTTTTTTCTCTGCTTCTAAGCCCTGATTTACGGTAAGGAAGACGATTAAAAGATGATCGGATGTCACTCCCAAATCAGGACAAAGTTAGAGACCGATCTTATGGCTGTTACTAAATGGACCCAAAGCTGTGCATCACATCAGCAACAAACAAACATTTTGATTGACCTTCCTGGTGTTTTCTGGTTAAATATGAACCATTTTTGCAATTTCACTGTGACAAAAAACATGCCTCTCTTTCCTGATTACAGTAAGGTTTCAGAGTATCAACGGCACAGTTTCTTGATGCAGTATAATCTTGTTTTTTCTATTTCTTGTTTATCTATCTCTTGAGCTCTGTCACTTGGGGCAGTGACTTGCTATAAGTCTAATGAAGGGAATCCACTCTTTTCTGGTTGTGTGCCATGCCTCAAACGCTTGTTGGAAACAAACAGCAACCTCTGGGGCTGCAAGACAAATCCAAAAACCTCAAATGGCCACTGGAGGCTGGCTCCAAAAGCAAGTCAATGCAGATAGACTCCCATGTTAAAATGCCCAACTTTACAGCAGGAGCAAACATGTTTACAGGCTGATACAAACAGCTTCAGCTACTTTCCTTTTCACTTAATAACAACTGTATGGGGTTGAATTTTTGTATAACTCCCCCATTTAAATTTTATTAGGGTTTTAAGTAATTGGGGGAATGGCCATTCTGAGTGACAGGTGGGTGCCTTCACAGTTAGCAAAACCACTTGGTGTGTAGCTGCTAGCTGTGAGCTACTGTTTGTGGTGTTGGTGCCTTTTCAAGGATTTTTCATGCAAATATTGAGCAAATAAAATGGCTTGTGCGGTTAAGTGACTAACAGAAAATGATATACAGGAATGTAATGTGTAGTGATAATATGAGACCAATACAAAAATATAACAAGCTCATAATAGAAAAATCACATTCGTCTATATTCTTTAGCGTGTATTCCTTGCATCGATCAAAAATGACAACTCAAAATTACAATAGTACTCACATATGTTATACTATTTCATGTTCATGCACCATGTGTATGGAACAATTACTTTATAAGTATTAGATAAGGATGTTGTATAAAAATGTTTTCATAATCATGCAAAATACTTTATGAGTCAAGCTTTCAGTTTGAGAAACTGGTTCATTTGGGTACAGTGTGTCATTCCATGATTAAGAAGGAAGTAGGGAATTACAAGTTGCACAAGCTGAGGAAGAAAACACACAAGAAACATCAATAAGAATTTCTACACACTTGACTGTGCATGGAGAGAAAATATCATGGTGTGTGGTTGTGTACACATCAAATCCATTTGATCCGAGATATTTTGCCATTTGTCATTTTTGTACGTTTTCAACATATCCATATAATTTTCCTTCCTGATAATACCATCTGGTTTGTAGCATGATGCAGCATGATGCCCCCAACCCTGTGCTTCACAGTTGGAATGATGTTCTTCAGCTTGCAAGCCTCATCCTTTCTGCTCCGAACACATGATGGTCATTACGGCCAAACAGTTCAATATTAGTTTCATCAGACCACAGGACATTTTTCCAGAAAATAAGATGTAGTTGCAAATTGTAGTCTGCCTTTTTTATGGCGGTTTTGGAGCAGTGGCTTCTTCCTTGTTGAGCACCCTTTTAGGTTATGTCAATATAGGACTCGTTTTATTGTGGATGTCATATTTTTGTACCTGCATCTTCACTTTGATTGGAAATTCAATTCATTCAGATGGCTTTGGCCCTCTCTCAAACAGTCAGTACAGACTAATTCTACTGCATATGTCATGTTACAATAATGCTATGTTGTACAGATAAAATAGATCCAAGGTCTTCTCACATCTGTTGTTGGTCAGTAACTTCCAAGTCAGTACCTCTTAACACTTCTAATGATCTGCTTCCCCACAGATTCATGATTAAAATAATGAGGTTGACTAGAACTGTTAACTCCTGAATAAATACACCTCATGAAAACTGTTCACAATCTTCAGATTATTCAGACCAGTAGGGTTTTTTTTTAATACATTTTTTGATTTTTTTTTTTTTTTTCGAATTTTCAAAAATAAAGCTGAAGTGAGGAATCTTAGAGATGGATATCTCAAACATGAGCAAATAAAACTGAAACTTTCTAGATCGCACTAAACATAAGTGAGATAATATGTTCCTCTGTAATCTAAGCAAACCAGCCCTTTATGAGATGTTCTGATAACGCACGCAACATGAGGGACTGAAAGCAATAAATTACAACATAAAGCAGGTTATATGTTCTCAGAGGTTAAGACTGAAATGAGCAGTATTGCAAAAATCAAGTTCATATTTTTGTTTTGTTATTTTTACTGTTTTATAGGAAAACTATAAGACTTTGGTAGACATATTACATCCCAGTTTCATTTCTGCTCAGCACAGTCTGTTACCTTAATTATTCTCTATGAACAATGGAATGTTTGGTTCACTTGTTATGAGGAAGCAATGAGATTTAATCCATGTGATACACCTGTAACTGGTCAAACCACAGATTTATGGGACCGTGCCAGCTATTACTATATAAAGCCTTGTTGCAGCTCTGCTGTCTTGCTTGGATGAGGGATAAAAAAAACTAAAGCATCACATATGAGCAGGTAATTAATTTATTTATTATTAAGTGAAACATTATTTCCAAACTGCTGTGTTTCATAATGATAGCAATAGCTTATTTGTATCTGAATTTTGGTAATAACTATTAAGTGATCATTTCAATTCTATTGAAGGCAACAGTCTGATAAACGGCTGCACTCTGCAGTGACAATGAATTTAATCTAATAAAGCAATGTTTTGATTTAACAGATACCGCCATCTGACATTGTCAAAATTTAAATTTATTTATTTTTATTACCATTATGACTTCAGAAACATAAGTGATATTTAAAATCCTGTTTGACAGTTAACATGATATTAATTTAAAATATGACTTAAGAAATAACGCTTTGAGCCAAACAACAAGTGATTTGTTTTTGGAAGTTGTACTTCATTGTACTTGCATGAATAAAAATGTTGCACATGATTGCTAATAATCTGTACTATGGACATGTAATAGATCTCATGATCATCACGCATTTAAATCTTTTGCCATTGAAAACCAATTTACAGGACTACAGGCATCCTTTGTGGGGTATGCGCTCTCTGTCTGCTTTTTTTTTTATCACACTGGAATTTAATCATTATGTTTGATTAGCAGGTTTGAATTTTGAGTTTTGGAAAATGGGATGTCAAATCATGTTGCATCTGCTGCTTCTGGGGATGTTAGGTAAGTATTTAATTAAATCAAATCCATTGAAATTCCCTTTTTATTTCTGTTGAAGCATTTACAAAAATTCACTAACTGACCTTTATTTATTGATGTTAAAAACCTCTGATTTTTGTCCAATTATATTTATGAACTTGCTGACACAGGTACGGTGGCTCCTCAGATTGCAGGTAAGTTGACGCTTTGATCACCTCTTAGTTTTTGTTTGTTCATATTTTTCACAGGCCATATGTCAAAATCAGAAGCTCTATTTTCAAGATTTGAAATATGTAACACTTCACAGGAAAGAACATGAATTCTGTCACAATAGTTCACAATTTACATCCCCTGACAGTGTTAAATGGCACTTGACACTGATATAGCACAGTAAAAGGTAAGTGTGTGTTTGTGGCGATACCACACTTTGACACTAGAGGTAGTAGTTTCCTTTGCGGTATGCCAAAGAGTTGGCTGCTTATTCTACAGTGTTTTACTGCCCCCTCTGGTTGCACCTGGGATGTGTCTGAAGTGAGCTCTGTTGCACCTATTACCACACCCAACCATGCTGTCATGGCATACCAACACACTGTACAGTACACTCAGCCAAAACTAGATCTTCAGGGTGTGTTAAATAGCTTTTTGACATGGGCCTTTTTCGTGGCAGACATTTTGACCTACCAGAGGTGAAACAAATTTTGTTAACAATGTCTCAGCTCCATGACGTGTCCCAGTAAGACATGAAAGTGAGACGGGATGCACAATATCAAGACCCTGGAACTAGCTTACCTACATTGTTTGGCACAAGCATTCACTGGGACTCAAAGATGAACTGATCAAATTTTTGTGGTCAAAGGTCAAAGTCATGATGACCTCACAAAACATGGTTTTGGCCTTGTGAACACAATATCTCTGTAATGCCCAGATGTTATTTCATTACCTCTGGCACACTGTGGCTCTCAAATTCATATGCTAATTATGACACACGTTAACCCAAATGTCTGTAAGGATACAATGAAGTGATAAATCCTTATGGGCATATCATATCCAAATGGTCAAAGGTCAACATCACTGTGACATCATAATGTTCTTCAAAAACATTTCTGGCCATTATGCAATACTGTAACTCAGGAAGGGGAGATTATGACCATATTTTCTGCAACTTGGCTGGTTGGCGGAGGCACCACGAGGCAGTAATTCTAGTTTTAATTGTATCTTTTATTCTTCTCTTTTTTTAAATGTAAACATCTTTTGTTCTTTCTAGGACCCCTCTACCTAATTTCTGGAACAACAAGCTCTCGATCAGACGATGGAAGTTCTCCACGGATTGTCCTGCAGAGACCTTTCGTTTACTTCGGACACTCATACAATCAGATTTATGTATGTAAAAATAGTTTTAGCAGACTGCAACATCCGTAATGTTTTAAGGTTTTTTTCTGGTATGTTTTGTGGAAGAATCACATTTTCATCCGCTTGTCAGCAAATCACTTCCAACACAAGAACTTTGTTTTAAATATGAAATAATAAATAAATGAAACTAATTAATAAATAAAATGAATTAGAGAAGCAAAGAATATTTTGTGAAACATAGCTTAATTCATATTTAACTTCAACTTTACCTAAATGTCACAAATATTAAAGAATTACTGGAGTTACTTGTTGTCAAAATATTGTTACATCCATAACATGGTCATTCTGTAAAATACTGTGGCAATAAATATGTTGATATTTGATTATGCAATTGTCAGACTGTCGTAGTCATTTACTTATTCTTGCTTAGTGAGAACTGGTTTATGTGTTTCCAGATGAACCACAACGGACACCTGACCTTTGCTAGTCCATGGTACCGTTACACACCTCAACAGTTTCCACTGCATGGATCCAGAGACATCATCGCCCCATTCTGGACAGATCTGGACAACAGAGGAAATGGTCAGGTCATCTACAACCAATACACCAACGGCAATGTCCTTCAACAAGCTACACAGGACATTAATGCCTACTTCCCAGGACTGCACTTTAATGCCAACTGGGTCTTTGTTGCAACATGGTATCAGGTGGCTTACTTTCCAACCACTGGCACAGTAAGTCAGCTTGTTCTAAATGGGGAAGTTCATATATTTGTATGTGTGTCTGCCTGTTGCTATATTTACTATCTGACTAACCACAAGTACATTTTTTTCAGCAAACAACCGTCCAAGCTGTCTTGATTTCTGGTGGCCACTACTCATTTGTGCTGATGAACTATGGGATAATAGCTGCAACAACTCGCAATATACAGGTGAGAGCCTACAAAGAACCAAATTGTAAAAGGTGTTTTAAAGTGTCCAAGCTGTATTCAAAACTGAATGGTGCAATGCCAATGTTCAAAGACAAAAAACATATATTATAATATTTCTATGTGACATGTATTTCCAGGCTGGATATGACACAGTCGGTTCTGCTCACCATTTCACCATCCCGGGATCTTTTGCTAGTAATGCAACAGGCATTAACTCAGTTTTCCGCCTGAGCAGCAATGTCAATGTACCCGGTCGCTGGGCGTTCCGCACCGACAATGGATCAAGAGGCTGCACTTACAATGGTAAGAGCAGAACCAAGGGTGATCACTATAGATACTTTTTTTCTTACACTAATGTGGATATGTGATCAGTGAAAAAGAGACGTCTGTCCTTATTGTTGACTATTGATTAATGTGTTATATGTTGCACATAGCCGACCGTACTGTGCACTATTACATAGAAATATCCTGATATAAAGATAATCTAAGTAGAAAGTACAATTAAAAAATGTAGAAATGTATTGTTATTTGTATTGGTATGTCAAAGCAGTAATCAAAATTCAAAAGTAGGGCATCTGTCCTACAAGATCAAGCAGGAGCATGGACATCCCTGTTACAAGACAGCTGGGATTTTTCTTCCACTCATTTTTTGTCACCAGTCTACTGTTTGCTCTAAAAGTCATGGTAAAAATGTCCTGACAACCTAAAAGAGTCAAATGGTTAAAATACTAATAGTATTTATGTTTTGAAGTTAAGGCCTTCCAAACAACCTTTCTATTATTTTCTTCAAAGGTGAATCCGTGCAGCTGGGTGACTCGTTTCTGGAGGACAGTGCATGTACAGAGAAGTGCACCTGCACCTCAGCAGGTCTGCAGTGTGTCAGTCAACGCTGCTCCTTTCAAATCTGCCGGCCAACTTCCTTTCAGTTCACCTGCCAGACAGTGCAGAGACGCACCTGCACCATAAGTGGTGATCCACATTACTATACCTTCGATGGCACACTGTTTCACTTTCAGGGCACCTGCACCTACGTTCTCTCAGAACAGTGTGGTCGTGGGCTGCCCTACTATCGTGTAGAGGGTAAGAATGAGCACCGGGGGAGCACTCACGTTTCCTGGACAAGACTGGTCAAAGTGTATGTCTATAATGAGACTATCGAGCTTGTCAAAGGACGACGCAGTGAGGCTAAGGTTAGCAACGAGAACTTCACTTATTCATAATAAGTTATATACAGTATATACCTGTTATATTTTTATGTAGTTAATACTTTTTACAACAATGTCTTTGCCTGTTTCTGTTCTGATAGGTTAATGGAAACTTTGCAGCCACTCCGTTCTCCCTTCACAATGGCACCATCCAAGTTTATGAGTCAGGTTTTTCTGTGGTCATCAGTACTGACTTTGGCTTGGTAGTTTCCTACGACACAAATCATTATGTTAGAATCAGTTTGCCCCACACTTACCAGAATGCAACATGTGGCCTGTGTGGAAACTTCAACCACCACCCTGGGGACGACTTTCAAACGCCCCAAGGCGAGGTTGTGAGCTCTGATGTAGTTTTTGCCAACAGTTGGAAAGTATCAGGGGACGATGAGCCTGGATGTGACGAGCGGTGTGGAGGCCTGGACTGTGCTGCCTGCACTGACCATGAAACAGCTTTATACAGCAATGCGGACCATTGTGGTATCCTCCAGAGCAGTTCTGGACCCTTTGCTGCTTGCCATCTACGACTTCCACCGCAAACATTTGTACAGAGTTGTGTGTATGATCTGTGTGTCGGACAAGGCTATCAGCCCATTCTGTGCCAAGCCCTAAATGTTTATGCAAGTCAGTGTCAGCAGAATGGTGTCCAGCTGCCAAGCTGGAGGAGACGTGACTTCTGTGGTAAGTCTGTCAGTCATTCAACACTATTTCATAATATAATTTCAAAATGTCCTTGATGTCAGTATCAATGTTGTTTGCTTGTACCTAGAAA